CAACCACACACACAAACGCACGCACGCACGCGCGCATACACACACGCGCGCGCACACCGTAGATCGCTATAAGGCTTTCTCATCGTAGCTGTGGTGACCGTGTGTGTACACGCACACACACACACTCCCGTCAGTACGTCAACAAGGAAGTCACTGCTTGCAGCTGATGGAGGCGGTTCAACAAAGATGAGGTGTGTATAATGTGTATGCTTAAACATGTTGTCATACAGATGATGGGGCCTATATTGCCCTACGTGCATTTATATATAGCAGACACTAGTAAACCAACAGAGTGAGGTATTATATCAAGTAATGACGTATATTAACTCAACGTCATTTTATGTAAGACGTTGGCAGTTATCGCTGATTTACGAGAGTATACGTGCATACATTTAAATCTGTATGCGAGGGACATTCTGATTTAATAGAAATGCCAAAAGTACTCTTTCTAGACAGGTGTACGTTTTAATAGATACGGGTTTTCTATGTAGCTGCCACTAAAATGAAACGCTAAAAGTAAACTTTATATAGACGTGCAGGTGTCTGTTTTTATAGAGGTGGGCGCTAACACGGACACGACTGGCTCCGCATGTTCTCGTTGCGCGTATACGTGCGTATAATATATACACGTATTATGCCGTAAAACTGCTGACCACGCAAGCAATCTAAAAAAAAAACAATGTCAGGCAAGTGAAGGCAAGCAAAGTCCGCGCATGCTGTCGATGGGTGTGGTAGCGGTTACTCTACTGCGGATTATCGCTGCTGGTGGTGGTGGGGGGGGGGCTGTAAGGGGAATTATTATTTAGGAAATGGTTATGGTTCTCAGGTGGAACTAAGGGTTCTTGGACAAGAAAACCGTTCAAGTACTTTTGGAAAGTAGGGCTGGGGTTGTTATATATAGAGGGAGGTCACTACATTGCTGGGTGGAACAAGGGATAGGTTATTAGGCAGGGGCAGGTTAATGATGATGAATGGGATAATAGGTTGATAGACAGGGAAACATTGTTGATGATTGGGCAACATAAGGATGTCCAACATAAGATACTACGCGTATAAGCGTATATAGTCATATAGTATATAGTCAATAGATATATTCATTGTAAGATCTTTTATATAGACTGTACTGTGAGATGTGCATGCCACTCTACGCATTGTCTTCAGTAGAATTTACATACGACTGCAGTCCGTGATTTCTCTTAGACATACATCATATTATAGATTTCTCTTAGATCTATACATCATATTATCGTGACGAATATTGTGACGCCGACTCTTGTGGGGGAGGCGTCTGTACGTCTTTGGATGAAGGAAGAGTGCGTAGAGAGTGTCTGCGAAGAGTGTCTGAAATGTTTTAATGATTGGATATCACGAAAGAAATGGATGATCACATAGTGCGTGTACAAAGGCGTGCGTAATGCCACAGAATGGACGCGAAAGTAGGTATACGCAATTAATTTTTGTCACAAAGCAATTTCTCGGCGTATCATTCTGCTGACGTGGATGTTGGAAACTAATCTCGTGTTTTTCTGATTCGTTCACGTTTCATTTAAGAGACGGGCTTTGTTGTTATCAGGAGCTAATAATACCAAGAGCTAATATCAAGCTAATAATATCAAGAGGTATTAATTTATTAGCTCTTGCTATTATTCATGGCAGGCTTTTACGGGCTCGCTCTAAGGAAATATTACTGTAATCATAAATTAAACACGACTCTACAAACCTATACGTATATAAGAAATGTGTGGATCTATTTTATGCTATTATATACAGTATATATTGCGCGAAGCTTGTGTTATATGCAGCGTTGCATCATGCGGTACTTGGCACATTTAGAAACTTTAAGACGCTCAAACTCAAAGCGTAAGGAAACTGTGCAGATTCTACCGAACAGAATAACGTTATGCAACGTTCTCCGTTCTCTACCTGTGCTGTGCGTCGCTTTACGTTATTCAGAGTGTTAGGTATATGTTCAGTTGGTTCCCAACATGACAGAAAGCAAAAGTGGTCGTATCTGCGACGAGAGAGGGCGCCACTGCAGCCAAGCTCGCAGACGGTCGTCGATTTAGCGATGTCTACGGCTGATGACCGTTAATCGGACAGCGACATCAAAGGCCACGCGTGCGTGCGGTCGGATCCGCTTACGGCGACCAATTACGGGCGGACGGTCAACAGTGGCGGCACGCCGCGTTCGGACAACAAACAATTACGTTCGCAGCGGGCGTCCAGCGAGGCTAGAGCACCCTCGCTTACCGTCGCGGGGCCGCGAGATCGTATCTAAACAGCGCGACGGACGGCGCGCGTGAATGGCGCGGTTACCCGACACGATTTCGTCTATGCGGTCGGCAGTACACAAAAGAGCCACGCGTACAATGTAGCCGGCGACGTAGAAAAAAGCGCGCCACCTGAGCAAGATTGCATACAGGCTCTGCGCTGAACGCACCCGGCAACAGTTGATCAAGGTTACAGCTAGGTAATCTCTGTAAGGGAGCGAGCAATGCAGAAATAAGGTTAGCCTACCAGGAGATGACCCAGCAACACTTGGTCAGGGTTAAACTATTTAGGGGAGAGACCAGCAACACCTGAGCAACGTTAGACTACGTGGGGGAGAACCCTGCAACACCTCAGCACAGATAGTCTACCCGGAAAGGTACTACCATTACCAAAAGATGGTTATACCCTGCTCTGAGAGAAAATAGCGACGCATGAACAAGGTGTATAATATGATACAGGTAGTGTATCAGGAGACGTTCAAGCAAGTCGACTTTGGTAGGTCTCAGACGCACCTGAGCAAGGATAGCCGTGGAAGACTGTGCGCTGCGAAGGACGGTCAACTGAAAGCAAACGCTGCGTGCGTAGCATGAATTCAATCGCAGCTTTTTTACAGCTACTTACGGCCGCGCCATCTCGACTGCGGACGATAACATGTATTTTTTCAGGAAACCCCGCGAGCAAAAGAGGAAATCAGAGGTTTCTTGTTTCGTTTTTTCATCGATGAGTCAGAGAAACCCGAGCAGTGGATCAAAGCATCGCGTCAGGTTCAGTGCGACTGTTACTAGACGCGACCATTACACAACGACGGAAGGGAAAGCGCCTTTAGAAAACGGACTCTCAAAAACATCTCATCTCGATTACACCGGACACGTCATCATTAATTGTATTAGACTAACGGGAAGAAAACGGAGAAAAAATAATTATATATATAGCATAGCAGGTGAATCTACAATATACATTCCGAGACTATGGCTAAATATAGCGCTGTCGCATGGTGCGACGAAAACACACTGGCACTAGCAGAGCGGTTCTCCCACGCCGCGGCAAATCCGTCGGGAACGTGCGACCGCAATAAACACGGCGACAAAGCAATGCGAATTCGCGTGGGGTCTGCCGTAGACGTGCCCGTTTTTGTCGGTGAGAGGAATAATAACACCAGTGGTGCCGACGTAAGCGTCCCGCCGCTATAGAACCCCTCGTAAAAACGTACGCGCATATAGGTGACGCATGACACAATCGTCGCGACGATTGCTAGTCACACTGTACATCGAGATGTCGCAGCTCCGCGTGGTATAGCGTTTCACGCGCACAGCCGTACTGACCACCGCGTACATGAACGTGAATTTGGTATTCAAAAGCCATTGGCGCTGCCCCCCGCGTGTGAAGCGTAAGTGTGCTTGGAACGCCTCCACGGGTGACAGAAACATTGCACCACTCCGTATGTGTAGTCGAGGTCCGCATCGTCTCTAGACCTATAGGACGTTGAAATACTATCTCGGCCTCCGTGTGGGTTCGATCACCTCATGGCACTTATAGCCATAAAGTTAGCGACAACAATTTTGGTCATTACATGTGTGTAGTAGAGGTCTGGATCGTCTCTAGGGTACGCGTAGATCCACTACCACTACTATACACTGAGTCGGTTCGACCAGCCATCGATTTCATTTCGATGTAAAGTTAGCGATGAGCCCACTAACAGATCAACATAGACGTTTGCTTCGGGATAATTTAGCGTTATATTAGAGTTGTGGCTAGGTAATCAGGTTAGGTAACCATAAACATAATCATAAAGTTACCATACGTTTAACCGAGGTAACCCCCAACGCTTACCTTAACCTTAACTTAAGATATCTCTATAACCATACCATTACCCTTTATCCTAATCTCGATCTTAGCAATGGTCTAACGCAAACCACACCCCTACCACTAAACTTAACCCTGATCCGATGCATAAAATTAACTCTAAATCTACCAATAATATTCATCCTAGCCCGTTTCTTGGCAATGTGCGAGCCAGCCTAAGCCAATTTACTATACGTGCCATTTAGCACGGAATCTTGGCATGTTAACGTTGTAAGACAACATATTCCTGGCGCGTCCACGACGTTGTCGACAAAGCTAGAGCACCATCTCGTTAAACGCTCGTCGGTCATCGGGCCGTCATCGTCAACGTCGCCGTCGTCGTCACGTGTCGATAACCCGCCGAAAATCCGTGTTTAATTACAGCTGCTCTAGCAGCGAGCGAATCGAACAGCGATAGAAGCACGCACGCAGTGGAGAATGCGGGCGCCTCCTCTTGCTCTCGCCTACGCTGGCAACGACCGCAGTTGTTACCTTGATGAGGGGCTCGATCACAGGATCGGACTTCAGCCGCGGGCGGGAATGTACGAGGGGAATACACACGCGGAGGAAGATGGCCGACATGAAGCGCCGGTGAGCGTGTGTTTGTGCGCGTGCGCGCGTGAAAGGGGCTGGGTAAGTATGCGGGCTATTGTTAGCGACTGCGGGTTCGTGTATCGGCAGAAGTGCCGGAGATCCACCCAGCGATTACTGTCAGGTAGCATGAATGCCCGGGCATGAATGCAGGCCATGCGGTATAGAGTATCGTTGGTGCGGCTGCTGCCTCCGCTACTGCTGTCTTTGTTGCTGTTGTTGTTGTTGGTGGTGGTGGTGGTGCTGCTCATGCTGGTGATGATTGTGCTACTGCTGCTGGTTCTGCTGCTACTGGTGGTGGTGGTGCTGTTGCTGTTGCTGCTGCTGTTGTTGTTGTTGTGGTTGTTGTTGTTGCTGTTGTTGTTGTTGTCATTGTTGTCATTGTTGCTGCCGCTGCTGTTGCCGTAGCTGTTACTGCTACTACTGTTGTTGTTGTTGCTGCTGTTGCCGCTGCTGCTGCTGCTGCTGCTGCGGCTGCGGCTGCCCAGGGCCAAGACAACTTACACCGTCATTACTCACAAACAAACGCGGCCCGGCTTGTACAGAACAGCACTTATTAGTAAAATAGCAAAGGGGCCGCATGCTTACCGTGCTTGTACGTAGCAACAGACCTCAGATGAGCCCAGACGCTCTGCGGCTCTTGTTAGGTGTTATATATAGTAATTAATATTTATTACTAAAGAATATGTGCTTTCCTTATGCTTAAGCTCGTGCGCTTTCGAGTCTTTATCGTGCTTAAAGACGTTCTGTGATATATCATGTGTGCCCTTGCGATCACACATACAAATTAAATAGCACGCCATTGGGATTTTCCGCATACTATATATGCAATCAGAAATAATTGCAGTTTGCAAATGTGCGAATCGCCGAGAAAAGGAAATGTTTGTGCCTGACCAACGACAACGAGCTACATAGTCCGGTTGCCAAATGACTGAACGTTGCAATCGGGTATATACAAGTTTTTTTTGTGGTTTCCTGATCAAAAAAATTGCCCACGAGAACCAGAGTGGCACCCGGTGGATTCCGATTCAGGATAGTCTAAAGATCAGGAAACCACAAAAAACCTTGTATATACCCGATCGCAACGTTCAGTCAAATTTCCCTACTCGGCAACTCGACTAACAGTCAAATCTGTAAATGAGTGTAGTACCCAAAGGGAAATGCCGAAGTAGTCCTTTATAGACGAGTATTCATTCTATAAAAGTGTCCGTTAACTTTGTTTTGACTTCATCTATGCTCTGTGATCTATCCATTCCAGGGCCGTAGGCTGAGCAAATTCCTATGGGGGAGAGGGAAATTTCATGACTCAACTGTGTAATGATGAGCGACGGGCGCAGCTCTTGATCGACGTCCGTAGTGTGGTAGGGATGGGTCTCAAACAAGGCTTTCACGGATAAATGACCACAAAATTCACGCTAGGGTTATTTACGATTATTAGCTAAGCTTATTTTAAAATTTTGCTCCACAATCTAGGGGGCAGCTGCCCCCCTTGCCCCCCCCCACAGGCTACGTCCCTGCATTCCGATGTCTGAGTTCTGCATCCATCCTGCAATATGACCCGCATTTCTACTTTTCAGAAGGGCGGGCAGATTTACGTGCTACGTGACGCTAAGGAGCCTGATGCTTCTTGCAACACGCGCTGGAAAAGTACGCTAACTACGAGATAGATGTGCACGCCACCCCGAGCGCAGGCAAGACGAAGCGCAAGAACGGGGCTTCATGCATTGACCGTGTGACACCTCCTGATTTAGAGACGTTCGTCATGCTCGTAGCGGCGAATTCCAGCGGAGATCAATTACGATTATTTCATGCTTGTCGCGTTATGCCTCACGAGTGCTAGCCGTACGATCTATGTGTGGTGCTGTGAAGGTATGAGATGGCCAGCGCACTGAAATCGAGCGCAGCGCCGCCGCCGCCGCCGCTGTTGGTGCTGGTCGTCGCCGTCCTCGTGGGCGTCACGTGCTCTTGGCAGCCGCACGACGACGCATGCGCGAGCGTCTGCAACTGCGATCGCGGCGCCGCCTGGTGCGATGCTCGTAACCTGACGCACGTGCCGTTCTTTCCCGCCGCGACGCGCGCGATCTACCTGCAGCACAACAACGTCACATCCGTCGGCGCCGACGACTTCCCGTCGCTCGGCAACGTCACGACGCTCGTCCTCGCGCACAACGCGCTGACGGCGCTAGACGGCGCCACGTTCGCCAACCTGCCACGACTCGAGACGCTCGACGTCGCGAACAACGCGATCTCGCGATTTCCCGCGAGAATGGCGCTGCCCGGCCGCCTGAAGACGCTCGACGCCGACGACAACCGCATAAGGACTCTCGAGGACTTCACGTTCGAGTCTCTGCCAGAGCTGCGCGTGCTGTCGCTGGCCGACAACGAGCTGACGACCGTCGGCAGGTACGCCTTCGCCGGACTGAAGTCGCTAGAGACGCTCTCACTCGCCGACAACTCGCTCGCGGACCTAGCCGACGACGTGTTCACCTACACGCCCTGCCTGCGGGACGTCGACCTCTCGGGTAACGACTTCCGCTCCGTGCCCAACCTCGCCGGCCTCGTGAACCTGCGCGCACTGCGCATGCGCGCTAACCGGCTCGCGTCCGTCGACCTGCGCGGCAACTTCGCGTCGGCGCGCCACCTCGAGCGTGTCGACTTCAGCGGAAACAACGTGAGCGTCGTCGCCGGCTACGCGTTCCGCTCCGTCTTCGCGACGCTGCGACACCTGAATCTGTCCGACTGCGACGTGCGCAGCGTCGACCGGTCGGCGCTGCATCTGGAGCGACTCGAGTCGCTCGATCTGTCGGGCAACGAGCGCGTCGCCGAGCTGCCGCGCGCGCTGCTCGTGCTGCAGCGCACGACGATCCGCAGTCTGCGGCTGTCGCGCGTCGGCATCGCCGACGTCGGCGCCTACCACGGCGTGCTGCATCTGACGCGCATGGAGCAGCTGCAACAGCTCGACCTGTCGCACAACCGCCTGCAGACGTTCCCCGGCGACACGTTCCAGCGCATGCTGAAACTGCGCGAGCTCGACCTCGGGCATAACGACCTCCGGGTCACGGGCGTGCACGGCGGCGGTGGCGGCGGCGGTGGAACGATGACGATGCTGCCGAGTCTGTGCACGCTGCGCCTTAACGACAACAAGCTGACGGCGATTCCGTTCATCGCGCACGAGAAGTGCGACGAGTACGACCCCCCTCCCCCCGGGAACGACCCCCCTCCCGCCGGCAGCAACCCCCCTCCCCCCGTGAACGACCCCCCTCTACGCGGGACGACGTCGGGTGGCGGCGTGCGCTGCCGCGCGCTGGCGTCGCTCACCCACCTCGATCTGTCGCGCAACAGCATCGTCGCGTTGCCGCGCGACCAGCTGCGACGCGTGCGCTCGCACCCGCGCCTGCGCACCGTCGATCTGTCGCGCAACCCGCTGCGGTGCGCCTGCGACACGCGCGCGCTCTGCGACTGGCTGCAGCACGGCGAGGTGACGTTCGTCGCCGGCAACGACACGACGTGTCACCACCCGGCGGCCGAGCGCGGCACGTCGCTGCTCGACTTCTGCCGACGACTAGCCGCGCGGCCGTCCGACTGCGACGTCGACGCCGGTCGGCGACGGACGAAGCGCGTCGTGTTTGGCTGCGTCGCCACCGTCGTCATCGTCGGCGTCGTCGCGGCGTCCGTGCTGTTCGCACACATCTTCCTGCGCACGTCGCAGCTGCGGCGGGTGAAGATGGCGCGGCAGCAGCAGCGGGAGTACAGCGAGGTGGAGCGTGGCAGCGGCGGCGGTGGCGGCGGTGGCGGCGGCAGCGGCCGGGGCACGCCCGTCGCCGACCAGAGCACGCAGGACACGTTTCTCAACTTCGACGACTCGTCGAGCAGCCAGCGGTCAGAGACGGATCAGGGCGAATCGGACGCGACGTGCTGAGCACAACTGCGATCGATTAATCGCCGTCTATAACGTGGTGTTGATGACTAAAATCGAGTTTTTGACAAATCATTTGCTATAATCGTTGTAGATGGACTGCTGTCAATCAACTGACGATTACAGTCAGTTGTTCTCACTCGATAAATTGGTTAATTAGTAGTTTGATTGCTGCCAATTGATGAATCGCCGTCGATTAATAGACTGAGTTGCTGTCAATTGATTGATCAGAGATTTGTTGTCAATTAACTGATTAATGATTCGTTGTCAGTCGATTGATTGACGATTCGTTGTGAATTGATTGACAGATAATTCGTTGTCAATTGATTGATTGATGAGTTGCTGTCAATTGATTGATTTGCTTGATCGCTATCAACGGATTGATCAATTGATTGTTGTAAACCTACGTGATTCATCTGCGTTTTGAGATATGATGATGGCCTGTTTTATTTATACATACTATCAGGTGTAAATAACCTTAAATTTGGTCTTAAGTGTGAATAAACTCAAACAAATGCTTTGCGAATATTTACACGTGATGGTATACATACGCGGCGTCCGTGCCCAATGACGGTCTCTGTTTTTAGATGCGGCCGATTCTGTGGCGAATTGTTTTTTTCTACGGAAATAAAATGTAAAGTTATTTGGCTCAGGCGTGCGTTAATGGCAATGATCCCCCAACAGGTGAGCGAAGGAAGACGAGATTTGATCACTTTCAAATACCGGTCGGGTGTCGAGGACAGTAGATGTGAAATTCATAAACAAACATAGAGACGTTAACTTCTGTCGTATAGTCTTTTAGTGGCGTCACTAAACTATAAGATTTACAACGGCCATTAAAATTACCGAGTCATAAACGGGACGTGATTATGTAAGGACGCGCGAGCTAGCTGCGGGAGCTCGTATGTTGCGGTAGCTCGGATACTTACCTTCCCGCGGGCAGCACAACACTCTAACTGCCGTGCTTCAGCCGTACGTTGGCAACAAACTTTTACAATGCCCGCGCTTTCATGAATCACCGCCCCACAATCTCTGAGTGTATCTCCATCTCTCTCACACACACACATACACACACACACACACACACACTGAGCGTGTTTCGCTGAACAAGCAATGTTTGATTCGCGGAGCGTGTTTCGCCTGAGCGTATGTTTTGCTCGGGTGTGTGCGTCAATCGTTCTGCGCTACACAGCGAAACGCCACAGACGGTTTCCAATCAATATCCTTAAAAATATCACATGACACACAAAATTGGATGTCCATTGGATGGCTATTTTTGATGTCATGTGACAGCGGCGCTGTAAGCAGTGTTTCTGTATGTTTTGCTCAGCTTTGTGCTGTGTGGGGTGGCGTGTGCGCGCTTGGTCGCCGAGCAGAACG